TCGACGTGGAAATTACGACAAAATTTACATAATAGAGAATCCGTGGCTGCCCTCGTCCTTTGAAAGTCTGCGCCATAGTCCGCGTCGAGTGACACCGCTGCACATTAAATTAACATCTCTTTCACTTTGTTTGCTGGCCCATCCCTGCCCACCCTGTCCTCTTTACTCCATCCCTGTTCTGCCCTCTTCAGTCCACGCCTGACTACGCTACGCAGAACAATGTATATTGTATTTATATTTTATTTTTATGTCTGACGCTCCACAAAAGTCACGGCATAATACATATTATCATACAAACATACTCAAAATATCAGAAGAAAATGTCTATGAAAGCCGCAATTATTGCCCAGTGTGTAGTGCCAGTAAACTGTCATATTTTAGTTTGGGGTATGTCAACGGGGTCAGATATTACCTTTATAGAACCTTACAGAAAAAAAAAATATTAACAACATATAGAAATGATTACTGGGCAATTCTGTTCGTAAGGAGCTTACATTTGTTGTCTTTGGAGCTTATGTTCTGCTACTTGCCTATTACGCGTTTCCAGTGCATAATGCTAGTATGTGCAGACGGGCTCGGGAACGCTCGCTTTTAGATTACACTTGTCGCAATTGCTTTATACAGCGAGTAATCCATACAGCAAACAGAGCAAAGTCATTAGAACTAACTTGAAGTTTATTACAAGACTAAAACTAACACTTTAGAGATTTAAATCTGCCTCACAAAGGCATTTATTAATTTTTAACTATTTGCTACATTATTATAATTTACGACTTGCTGAATTTATAATCGCAATGACCAACATTTGATTAGTGGATGTTCAAAAAAGTCGTCACCGTACTTTCTATCCCTACTTTCTAGAGAAAAAAACTTCCTGATTAAGTCGGGCATAAACGCACATATCAATGGGCTAAATCTCTATCATGCAGTGAATTAAATTCGATCTTATTGATCGTAAGTGGTTCGTTATCGATTTTAAACGATATAAAAGTCGCTTAATTAAAAGGGAATCAGAAGTTAGTGCAGGTTAACTCATGTTTGTTTATCATCTTTGCTGTAGCCTTGTTCGCCTAGCAAGCACCCCGACTTAATTAATATGATGTATACTGCCACTTATACCTTATGACAAGAATACAACGTACCTGGAATTAAACTATAGTTAAACAAGGATCTGAACCAGTTAGAGAGGCGCTGCTGTCGCAGTTAGTATTTCCTGTATTTTACAAATATTATAAATGTGAATGTTTAAAAGAAGGGATGGAGGTTGGTTAGAAAGCATCTTCAGACCGACTCAATGTACATAGATAAAATTTACCATAGATATAGAACATAGTCAGGAAGGTCATATAGGTTACTAATTTTTTTTTAAATTTCGCGCGGGCGGAGTCGCGGGCGACAGCTATTATTATATTATATAAAACCTACTTAAACATAGAATATGACATAAAAGAAAAAAAAACAGCAACAGTACAAAGAGCATTTTGTGACATTTTTTGACGTTCACAGGGGGGCGCTAGTGAGCTGTCATAATTTAGTTTCACTTGTGCCCACCTATGCAGATATCCTTGACGGTGTATACTAAGTTAAATGTCATCGAATAACTATGTAGTTCATAATTTGACAACTATGACTAAGTAAACTACTTGACTTGTCTCTTCTACTCTACTAAATGTCGTAATTGCTTATGACATGACATAATATCAGATTGCGAAATGATTGTTAAAACTTATGTTATGATTAGAATAAAAGATAATTAATAGTTAGGTTAATTGAATTGCGATTATGATTAGAAACTGATGAAGATTTTTATCAAAAAAAACATATTTTTGTCTTTTAATTAAAAAAAACCCACGCAAGTTTTATATGTACAGTCAGCGTCATATAGATCGTCACAGACAAGATATGCAAATATAAAGGTACATCAAAAGTAATCAATTATATCGGTACAACAAAAGTCCTCAAAATAATAGATACATTCACCCTGCTCAAATACATCGGTACATACGCAGCGTCAAATATATGAGTACATGCAAGATGCCCATAAATATCGTAGCAGCCACAGCGTCATAAGTAACGAAGCAGTCAAGGTGCGCAAAAATATCGGTACATTTGACAAAATTGAACTCTATCTCTATATACTTGTGATACAATTTGGAATAAACTACTTCTGTTACATTCATTTGACACTTAGCATCAAACCATTTTTCAAAATTTACTAAAAGTGTTCGACGCGGATGACAGATATTAGATAGATAAAACCAACATCAAATTTAAGTTTGTCATCATATATGCTAGTTTGGTCTCGTGGCCTTACCGTTCGCCGCCGTTGGTACGTAAGGTCGGCGGTTCAAATCCCAAGCCACTATTTTTTTTTTGGTATTTAAACTTTTTAATTTTAATATCGAAGCACATGTAATTAAACTCTATCGCCGTAGTTATTAGGTACTTTTTGATATTGCCTTGGACTAATGAGTTTGACCGTTAAAGTACTTTTCTATTTCAAACAAAAATGAAGGCGATAAAGCGATGCTATTGGCATGTAATTTGTTTATTACTCATGTTTGTTAAACTTGTACCGGTAAAAATAACACTTTTACTTTTACCTTTTACTGATACTGATTATATTTAAGAAACAAAGAAAAAA